TGTGGTGGATAGTGAGTGTGGTTGTGGTGGATAGTGAGTGTGGTTGTGGTGGATAGTGAGTGTGGTAGTGGTGGATAGTGAGTCTGGTGAATAGTGAGTGTGGTGGATAGTGAGTGTGGTTGTGGTGGATAGTGAGTGTGGTGAATAGTGAGTGTGGTGGATAGTGAGTGTGGTAGTGGTGATAGGATAGTGAGTGTGGTAGTGGGGATAGTGAGTGTGGTAGTGGTGGATAGTGAGTGTGGTAGTGGTGGATAGTGAGTGTGGTGGTTTGCGAGTGTGGTTGTCCTAGTTCAGGGGTCGGAAACTGAAATAACAAGAAGCGCTGTTAAAAAACCTTCAATATTTAAACAGCCGCAATCCATTTGGAGATTTTGTAACGTTGTCGTGGTTAACGTTACCGCAGCCCTCGCAGCAACTATATTGTGGGTGGTGTCGGAGCGGTGTGTGTGGCGGGGCTCGCTGTGCGTGGTGTAAAGCGTGGTGAGACCACCGCGGTGCTGTGTCGGTTGCGGTGTCGGCACGGCGAGTGAAGCTGTGAGCGTGCGCCGCGTCACCGCACCGCGTGTGCCGTGTTGCAGGGTTCTTTGAGATGAAGATGCGTTACGACGAGAGTGACAACGCTATGATCCGCGCGTCACGCACCCTCACCGACAAAGTCTCCCAGCTCGTCGGTGAGTAGCCTCTCTCTCTATCTCTCACTCTCGACCTCGGAGGGGTTTGAAGTCCGATTCCGCCCGCATTATTAAAGAGCAGGGGGGTGAAGCGTCTGCCGTGTCCGTGCTCTGCTGGCAGGGGGACTTTCTCCAAGACGGAGATGTCCGAGGTGCTCACAGAGATCCTCAAGGTGGACCCCGCCTTCGACAAGGAGCGGTTCCTCATGCAGTGCGAGAAGGACATCATCCCCAACGTGCTGGAGGTGAGCTCACTCGCTCGCCCAGATTCTCACCCCGGCTCACCCAGCACCTCGTTCACTCGCCCAGTACCTTGTTTGCTCACGCAGAGCAAACAAGGTACTGGGCCCAAAACCTCAGTCGCTCACCCAGAACCTCGCTTATCCAGAACCTCGCTCGCTCATCCAGATCCTCACTCGTGCACCCAGGACTTCGCTCGCTCACCTGCATGTCTCCGTGTCTCTGCCCAGGCGATGTTGCGGGGACAGTTGGACGTGCTGCAGGACTGGTGCTACCAGGCGGTGAGTCTGCCCTGCTCTCCCTGTCACTCTCCAATACCCAGGCCCCCTCTGAGCACAGCAGCGTAACACCCAAACTCATCCGCCCGAGTCTCTCTCACATATGGCTGGAGGAGAAATCATCATCATCATCACCAGCCAATGTCTATCCGCTGCTGGATAAAGGCCTCCCCACACCGATCGCCATCTCTGTCCAGTGTTCCTACAAATCCGTCTCACGCATAGACATGAACTTATTTAATCACTCCAACTCTGCGATGGATAGCAACCTTGTAAGTCTATGTACAGATACGTTTAGCTAGCAAATGGCTTCAGTTGATGTGGGTGGATTTCTGCTTCAAAGCCCCCCATTGAATGTTGAGTTCTACTCTGTGGTCCTCACATTGTGATTCATAAACTCACACGGAGGCTCATAGAGTCACACAGAGACCCGTAGACTCGCACAGAGACTCGGGGTCTTAGAGCATGGTTCCCAAACTCCAGTCCTGGAGACTTGTTTTCCATGTTTCACGTGACGTGCAAAGCAATGAACGGCGTCTGCGGCAATGGAGACCCAATTCAAATTAACATTGAGGTCATAATAAAGGTTTTGGGTGAGATCGCGTTATTATAAATGTGTCGCAACCCTCCACCACCCGACATGACCAATCAGTAAAAATGTGTCACGTTAACGAAACGCCAATTAGTTACTTTTTCAGCCCACCGGTGTGTTTGAAGTGTGAATCCACAACATTTAGAATTTGAGTACTGGTCGCGAAAGCCTCCGTGTAAAACTGTTTGGAATGTTGGCGTTTGCCAAAATCTCTCGCCATTTCGGGCGGGAGTGCGGTAGCGACACTCGTGCCTCGCAAGCAAGAAACCTGGGTTAAATTCCCGACTCGGGCATCTGCGTGGAGATTGAATGTTCTCTTCCCCTGTTCCTCCCGGTTCTTCGGTTTCCTTCCATCGATGAAACAAAAAAAACATCCAATGTAACTTGTCATATCCAAACATTGCAATGCTGAAATTAGCAACTTGGGATTTTATGAGGGGGTGTGTCGGTGTTTGTGCGCGTGTTTGGTATCGCACAGACGTACAGTCAGCTCGCTCACCCCATCAAGCAGGCTAAGGCCATGGGCTGCTCCTTCCACTCGCGCATCCTCGACATCGACAACATTGACGTGAGTTCCCCTCCTCCTCCTGCCTGTTGTCGTTGTCATCGCGTCTCAGAACCGCGTGCTTTGTCCTGCATGCTAGGGCCTGAATGCCATGAGCTGTGTGCTACGAGCTGTATGTTGAGCTATAACCTTTGTGCTCTGCTATGAACTTGTGATTTTGCTATGCTGTGGTCTATCTGGTTTCTGTGTCCTGCGACTCACTGCTCAACTCCTGCTCTGCTGCGTGCATCCATGCGTCACTGCGTGTCTCTGCGTTTCACCGCGTCTCTCGGCATCTCCACGCATGTGTCCGTGCATCTCCACGCGTGTGTCCGTGCATCTCCACGCGTGTGACCGTGCATCTCCACGCGTGTGACCGTGCTATGCCGCGTGTATCCGCGCAGCTGGCGATGGGGAAGCTGATGGAGCAGGGTCCCGTGCTCATCATCACCTTCCAGGCTCAGCTCGTGCTGGTGCTGCGAGACTCCAAGGGGCAGACGGTGGAGGGCGACCCCGTGCGTACCCACAACCTCTCACCCCACCAAGGGAGTTAAACGAGCGCGCGTGCGGTTTAAAGTCCGCGTGCTTTAACGCCACTCCTCACCCTGCCCGCTCTGCCCGCACCCCCCCCCCCCGCCCCGTGTGTGTCTGCAGGACAAGGTGGTGCGTATGTTGTACGTGTGGGCTCTGTGCCGTGACCAGGAGGAGCTCAATCCCCTGGCTGCGTGGCGCCTCCTGGACATCTCGGCCTCCAGCTCGGAACAGATCCTCTGATCGCTCAGCCCGCTCCCGGCCCCGCTCCCGGCTCCACAACAGCGACCACATCTTGGCTCCGGTTTAGTCAGAGCTCCGATACTGCAGCTCGTAGGGTGTGCCGCCACCGCCGGGAGTGGTGGTTGGTGGTGGTGGTGGTGGGAGGAGGAGGATTAGCTGAGCGTGAGCACTGCTATGGGGGTGGGGGGGGGCACGGTACGGGTGAAGGTGCAGCCCTGAAATTGCTTGTTCGAGCCACTGCTGGCGGAAAGGCCTCCACTACAGGGAGCTCTTAAGAGAGCAAAGAGGGTATTCTGCCTACTTTTCCACACTGGCCCGACATCTTGGAAGAGGTGGAAGGTGGACGCGATTCGTAATGATTCCTCCTCTCTCCTCCTCCGTGTAACGCGGGGGCCCAGGGTGCGCTAGCGGGCAGCGTGTGTCACGTTTATTGCGACCTTGCCCGACCCTGTACTGCCAAGATGAGGACGACACCATTTTTTATTGATTGATTTTTTTAATGTAAAAAATAGTGCTATGTTGGAAGAGAATGGTTATTATTATTATCATCATCATCATTATTATCACAGTCATAATGCGCTATACATGAAGCTATTAAAACAGGCGAAACGCGAGCTGGCTGATGATTCTGCTGTGTCGACGCGACACGGACTCTGCGCCGCTCGGGTTGGGATTGCTCCCTCCACCTCCTGGGCCCCGTGACGACGGAGCCCTGTAAACACACAGCAACAGCGGTGTCTGCAATTACAGCAGCACCCACTCCACTCCATTGTGCTCAACTCCACTCAATGGGGCCATATATTTCTGGCGGCAGCCGCGATCACCGTCATGTCCCATCCGTCAGCGCGTCTTTGTCTCGTGCGACTTGGGATGCGATGGTTTTGATGAGCACGAGCAGGGCCATCCATAGGGGGGGGGGGGGGTGGGGCCCGGGGCAACGAAACAGGAAGTATTACATCTGACACCACCGGGACGTCGGAAGCACGGGGGGGGGGGGGGGGGGGGGGGTCACCCCGAGTCGCCGTTACCCGAGGGACGGCTCTGAGCACCGCAATGTGATGGTGGACACCGATGAGTGATTGGTCGGTGACACGGAGGTTGCTCACAGCTCCTTGTCTAATCCACTCCAGTCCGGTGTGATAGTGTCAGTCCTCGCCTGCATTGCCCACTCCAGTCCAGTGTGCTCCAGCCACCTCTCGTATGCTTCCAGTTCAGTGTCATCTACTCCACTGTAGTGACACAATCCAATGGAGTGTGAGCAATTTAGCACTTCCCTCCCCCTCTGCATTATCCAATCTCGTCCAGTGTGCTTCTCCAGCCCCCTCTCGTGTGCTCCACTCAATTGTGCTCCAGTCCACCTCGCTCCACTTCACTGTGCCACACTCCAGTCTGCTCCGCTGAAGCGTTTGCCAACTCGGTGGAGACGGAGCGAAGCGTGATCATGACCGCGACGTCCATCACGGCGACGGACTGGGCCTGAACCAGGCCCCCTCCGCGTGGTGAGTGGGAGAGCCGCCCTCCCGTGCCGGCGCGGTTCACCCCACGCTCGCCCCACGCTCACCCCACGCTCACCCCACGCGTCGACAGGGTTCACCCCATGCTCGCCCCCTACTCCGGCGCTGTTCACCCCACGCTCACCTCACGCTCATCCCACGCTCACCCCACGCTCACCACCCGCGTCAACGCGGTTCACCCCACGCTCACCTGACGCTCGCCCGACGCTCGCCCCCCGCGTTGCAAATTAGCGTACGCATCTACCCACCTCCTCCACTGGCACGACCAAACTGCGCCAGGGCCACGGTCGGGCCAACTGGCCCACTGGCGTGGATCAGGAAGCACCAAGATGTGTTTTCCACTGCAGAAACCAAGCCGTGCCGCTAACGTTGCACGCACAAAAAATGTATTGGCCTCGCTCGGGGCTCTTCGGCCCCGTTTGGTCCGCGGCCAGATTCAGAAGTGGTGAGCAAAGTGGTAAAGCCACCCGGACTGCGAGGGAGCCCCACGCTGGCGCGGCTCGGATGTTGCAGTGGAAAAGGGGCGGTCGAGTCCCGACGCTACAAGCGCCGCCCGTTACGTTCTCTTGAAGCGGCTCCATTCAACCTGCAGCTGCTGCTCCACCGAGACCAAGACAAAGATGCCCCGTGTCGCCTTACCATACTTTTGGGGCAAATGTTGTTAGCGAGCAGTATATATGAAGGCCGGCACGGCACACGAGGGGGTGGGTGGCCAGCACCACGCCCGACCGCGTTTGTCTCCCGAGTGGCGATGTTTACACACCGCGCCAGGTACTCATTTGAGGTTGAGTCGACGTAACCACGACAATACCACTCCCCAGACACCAATACCAATATTGGTGTTAGTGTTCACGCGCGCATATACAGGCCCGTGCACTCCAATCGCTGTCGCACGCACGCGTGGCTGTGCGCTCGTTTCACCATTCCGCCAGGAGCTCGCGCGTTCCCGTTTTTCTGCCGGCTCCTCCCGCCGTTTGTTCAGCGTGAGGCACCGTCTCCCGAAGCCCTTGGTCGTGGCGCTGCGTGGCGCCGTCCGGCCTCGACCACCGCCGATGTTCGCTCGTCGCGCCTCCGGGGCGCCGGCTCCGGCGGCTCCGCAGCGTCCCCGGGCCGGGCGGGCGCTCCCCCCGTCCGCTCCCGGCGCTTAGCGTCCGCACGGCGGCGCTGCGCGCCCGGAGGAGGAGGAGGCCGGCGCGCGGGGTGGGGGAGCGCCGGTGGGAGGAGCCGGAGGGGGAGCGGCGCCCGGCGGCTTCGGGGCCGGCGCCGGCTTGACCGCCGCGGTTCTGCGCGCGCCGAGACGAGGGAACGCGGCGACCTGGGGGGGGCCGGGTTCACGAGCCGCCCCCCTCCCGGACGAGGTCGACCCCCGCGCGCCGCGAGGGAGGGGGGGCCACGCGGAGGGGCGCGGCGGGGAGCGCGACGGGGGCCGCGAGCGGTGCCGGCGGAGCGGAGCGCCCGACCGCTCGGGCGGCGCGCACGGCAGACGGCCGCCCGGGCGGGGACGGCGCCCATCTCCCAGGATGCACTGCGTCACCTGACCGGTCTCCTGCAGCTTCCTGAGCAGCTCCTCGAGCGCCAGGCTGGGTGCGCTCACTCGCTCTGTGTGGCCCTGCTGCTGCCCGGGGTCCCCCCCCGCGGTCGTCGCGTCCGACCCGGCGCTCTCCCGGGGCCAAACGGCGAAAGCGGCGGCGGCGGCCGCGGCGGTCGCGACGGGCGACGGCCGCGGCCGGGGGTCCGCGGCGCCGCCCCCGCCGCCCGCCTTCCTGCGCGTCGCGGGCGGCGTCGACTCGGGGGTGGGCAGCGCCGCCAGCTCGGGGAGGGGGCGGCCGCCGGCACGGGGGAACGGCGGGGGGAGCCCCCCCGCCCACTCGAGCGCCGTCACGTCCACCTTGCCGACGGCCATGAGCGGCACGAGCAGCGCGGCCGACCTGGCCACGGCGTCGACCTTGCCCCGCGCGGCGCCCTCCAGCAGCAGCTCCTCGAGCAGCCGCGAACGGCCGTAGGGCCCCGCCGGCCCCGGGCCGGCGCCCGGGGCCGGCGCCGCGGGCGGCGGCTTGCGCGGCCGCTCGGGCCGCCGGGGCCGGCAGCGCCGGAAGAGGCAGACGGTGGCGACGCAGGAGAGCGCCGCGCCGAGAGCGAAGGCGCCGAGCAGGCAGAGCCACACGATGCCGGCGGGGACGCGGCCCGGGGAGGTGGAGACCCGCGGCTCGCGGATCGCTCCTGTGGCGGCACGCACGGCGCCAGCGGCCACTCGCGACACGCGGGACGCTCGCTACTCGCACTTGACACTCACTTCACAGTCATTACACTTGATGCTGCGCACACTTCACACTACACGATCACTACTCACTCAGACGTGACACTACTCACGCTTGGCACTCACTGCACATTCACTCTTCAGGCTTGACACGACTCGCACTTGCCATGACTCACGCACTTCACAATCGCTACTCACAGTTGACACTAAACGCAGGACACTCACTACTCTTACACCGTGACGCTCCATGTGATGCTGTGGAGGAGACACTCACCGCTGGACGTCACAACGGAGTCTGTGGAAGCACGGGGCAATGGAGACGCACAGGATCATCATCGTCGTCATCACCGTCATCATCGTCGTCATCACCGTCGTCATCATTGTCAATATCGTCGTCGACATCGTCGTCATCATCGTCATTATTGTCGTCCACATCGTCGTCATCACCACCAAAGTCATCATCATTGCAACCACCATCATCATACTCGTAACCATCGACGTCATCAGCATCGTCACCATCATAAGCAGCGCCACCACAATCTTGCACAACCCATGTCAATATACACACTAGGCCACTGCACCAAAGTCAAATCACAGCACACAAATACAAAGATCCCCCGTATAGCCTTAACAGACTTGGGGCAAGTGCTGTTAGCGACCACCTATCAAGGCCGGCATAGCACACGTGGAGGTGGGTGGTCGGAACCACGCCCGGCCGCCTTTGTCTCCCTAGTGGCGATGTTTACTACACACCGCACCTCGTACTCATTTGAGTTCCCGAGTCCGGTTCAGATAATCGTCACTGGTACGCTTAGGTTTTTTCGGTAAAGTCGTGTAGGTAAAAATAATAATAAAAAAAATCAATGAAAAAGAACTAAATCGATTTCATAAAGTTATTTTTTATTTTTTACTATTTATTTACCGAAAAAACCTAAGAGTATGAATCCCGAGTTCGATTCACGCCGTGAGCGTGAATCGAACTCGGGTCGCCAGATTCACCGCGCAGCGCGCTAATCGCTACACCGCCGCTCCCCAACCACTACCACGGCAACAACATCACCACGGCGCTTGTGCCAGGCTATGTGCGTGCACGTTAAGGCCACGTGAAGTGTCGATCTACCACAGCACATGGCACAGACAGAGACACTGGACCCCCCCTGCAGGACTGTGGGGGGCTCACCGGCGCAGTCAGGCAGGTTCCCCGCGCTCCCCGTGGCGAGGGCTTGCTCCGCCATGGGGCTGGGGACACAGAGGGGACCCCCCCCTCATCCAGTTAGGCACGGCCCCCCACCGACACCAACACTCGGCAACCCCAACAACCCAAACATCCCCAAACCCTCGCGTCTCAGTGGGGCTGCTGCTGCGGTTTGGTGACGTCACTGCCAGTGCGTGGCGCTTTGTGACGTGTGGTGTACGGTCTGTGTTTGCGGTGTGCGTGGGTTATTGAGTGTAATGCGGTGTGTGTAGTGCGGTGCGAGTGGTGTGTGTATTGTGTAGTGCGGTTGTGTGTAGTGCGGTGCGAGTGGTGTGTGTATTGTGTAGTGCGGTGTGTGTAGTGCGGTGCGAGTGGTGTGTGTATTGTGTAGTGCGGTGTGTGTAGTGCTGTGTGTGTGTAGCGGTGCATGTGGTGCAGTGCGTGCGTGTGGTTCAGTGGGTAGTGCGTGTGGTGCGTGTGTGCGGTGCATGTGGTGGTATGGTGCGTGCGGTGCGTGCGGTGCGCGAGTGTCCGCACCTGCCGTGGGATGATGGCGTGACGCGGCTGCAGGTCCCCCCGACCAGGCGCAGTACGGGTCCCGGGACGCCAGGCAAGCCCTGGGGCCCACGCGAGACGGAGCAGGTCAATACCAGCGTATCTCCTGCACCTTCAGTCAATCGGTCCACTACTACGAATCTTAATCGATTTTTTGACCGGGCCTATTAATCACCCGGGCCAAAATTGCGTCCGGTACCACCCTCCGCTCGAGCCCTGCCTGGGGTCTGGGTACCCACGGGGAACCCACGGGGTACGCGCGACGCAACGGACGCAACGGACGCACACCTGTCCACCCATACGGTTTACCCGTATTGTTGCACAGGGAAATTGAGTAACAAAAAACATGTCTATTTGTGTTTCTACCATGTGATGGTACTTTGTAGAATTAACGTTTAGATTTATAATGGCACGGGGTGACCAACAAAGGTCTGAATTGGTCTGTAATAAGGTAGGGGGCACTGGTAAGGGGTCGACAGTTGTGCGAACGTGACCCGACTCCCGTCGCCCATCGTGCGGCCATGGCCCTGGGACCGACGCCCCCAAGTTCCGACCACCCGGCACGGCGCGGGGGCGGCGAGTCCAACGCTGGCGCACGCGGGCAACGTTGTTTGTTGTGCCTGGTCGGCTTGTAGCAGGCTCTTGACGACACGCATTTGACCACATCGTTCCCAAAGATCAATCTGGGCGGATTTGTTGTCGGTTTTTTTGTGACGAGAGGGGCCCGGCCCGCTCCGGCCCCCGTTCGGTGAACACAGCAGTCGTGGGGGGAGGGGGGGGTTGTGGGGGGTGGGGGGGTGTGAGAGGAGTGGTTCACGAAGAAGTCGTGAGAAGGTGTGCGTGTGCTAGGCGTGTACTAGGCGTGTGGTGTGGCATGCCCTAGGCGTGTGCCGCACTTCTTTGCAGTCTGCGTGCCGCGCGCAGGGCTGAGCGGGAGGCGCAGCACGCAGGAAGGAGAAGGCGAGGAAAGACGGCGTGGCGCTCCGCGGTCCACGAGCAGCGCCCGCACCGCGCGCGGGGACCGCCGCCACAGCTGGGGGCGGGGGGCACGTGATGGCACACACAGCGGGGACACACACGACGTGGCACACATGGGATGACATGGGAGGGGTACATGAGGGAGACACGGGGAACATGGGGCGGGGGGCGGTGGATGGGAGACACGTGGGGAACACACGGGCCGGGGGGGGGGGGGATCGTGGGAGGGCACACATGGGGAGAGATACGGGGAGGGCATAGAGTGGGACACGGGGACACGAGTTCAATTCCGCTCAGGGCCAGCTCCAGCGACGAGCGTGTGGACGTGCGGTGTGCGTCTCGCCCCACGTGTGCGCGTCTCCCCCCAAGTGTGCGTCTCCACCCACGTGTGCGTCTCCCCCCACGTGCGCGTCTCCCCCCACGTGCGGGTCTCCCCCCACGTGCGCGTCTCCCCCACGTGTGTGCGTACTCGCGGGCGCTGTAGGGCTCCGCCTCCTCGAGCAGCACGGCGCCACCACCACCGCCACCACCGCCGCCACCGCCCGGCAAGCAGCAGCAGCTTGAGCAGCACGCCGCTCTGCGCCGCGAGCAGCACCACCGTCTCGTTGCCGTGGCGCCCCGCCCTCACGTCCACCGCGATGTGGGTCAGCCGGTAGCTGGGCGGGGGGTCGGGGGGGGTCACGCCGGGGGTCACGCAGAGGTCGCGCGTTAAGATGGATTATTCTGAACCCAGCGTTTTGAGTCCTACGGGGGTCCGAAAGCTGGCGCTCTCTGTGTGTGCGTCTGCATGTGCGTGCGTTCATGCACATCTGTGCATGCGTCCATGCACATCGTGCGTGCGTCCATGCCACATATGTGTGTGCGTGCACATCTGTGTGTGCGTGCATGATCTCACAGGTGGGGAGTGGTTAGGTAGTGGTTAGCGCGCTGCGCTATAAACCTAGCGACCCGAGTTCGATTCGTCCTCGCGGTCAACACCAGTGGAGTTATCTGAACCGGTTCTTGGCATTCCCTAAGTCGACTCAGCCTTAAATGAGTACCTGGTGCAGTGTATAAACATCGGCACTGGGGAGACAAAGGCGGCCGGACGTGGTGCTGGCTACCCACCCACTCGTGTGCCGTGCCGGCTTTCGTGGGTCCACTTTCCCCCAAAGCCTGTTGAGGCTATACGGGGGATCTTTGTACTGTTCCACAGGTGGTGCATCTGCCAGTCAAGTCTGGCAGTCAACCCATTGCACCTGGGGCTGTCCGGCGACCTCCTGCCAGCGAGCCTTCCGCACTTCCCGTGCCAGCCTCAGGGTGCACCTAGCCTGGCACAAGCGCTGGGGCGGTGTGACGTTGTTGCTGTTCTCACCGGGTGCCGGAGCGCACGAACCAGGGCTGCGGGGAGACGGCGTTGACGGCGCGGTGAGCCAGCGGGTGCGTCTTGGCGAAGCTCAGCGCCTCGTCCGGCAGCAGCGGCGAGCGGGTGGAACGCAGCCGCCTCCCCCTCGCCCGCACACGCACCGGGCCTGGCGCGAGACGCGGGGGCGAGACGTGGGGATGAGACGCAGGGCGACACCCCAGGGACACACGGGTGACAAAAAGACAAAGATCAACAGATTGTTGGGGCAGTGCTGATAGCGAATTGCACCTATGAAGAACGGCACCGGCACACGAGGGGATGGGTGGCCAGCACCATTGCCCGGCCCGCATTGTAGATGTTTACACATCACACCAGGTACTCATTTGAGGCTGAGTCGACCTAGGGTAAGGCCCAGGACCTGATCAGATAATAGTCGTGAGTGTTGGCCGTGAGCAGGAATCGAACTCGGGTCGCTGGGTTCGTAGCGCAGCTAGCTGACCGCTACACACAACTCCCCACACACAGGGTGACACTGTGATTACACGGGGAGACGCACAGGGTGACATACGGGGTTAGACATGGGGTAAGATAATGGCACACTGGGGTAACAACGAGGTAACAAGGGCTGAGAGACGGGAATGAAGCGATAAGCAAAGACATGTTCGACAGAGAGACATGTGGACACGGCATGAGGAACACAGACAGAGGACAACAGGAACACAGAGACACACAAGGGACACAGCCGCATGGCATGAGTCAGGGCATGATAATGATGTCACGGTGTGATGGAGTGGTGTGATGGCACTGATTGTAATGGGAGTGGTGTGATGAGAGTGTTATGATGGGAGTGGGGTGATGGCACGGTCTTAATTCTAGATTTGAAGCTTTCGTGACTGCAAGGATTCATACTCTCAGGTTTTTTCGGTAAAGTCACGTAGGTAAAAAATAAAATTAAAAGTTAATAAAAGTACTAATGGAAACTAAATAAAATAATAATCACGGACGTTCGGAGGCAACCACAAGTTCTTCGTTATCAGGTGGGACCGTCACAGCTAAAATTACTGCATCAAGCTGTGCCGGTACACACCTGATACGGAGACTTGTGTTGCCTCCGCAACGTCGTGGATTATTATTTTATTTTATTCCATTATTACTTTTATTAACTTTTAATTTTATTTTTACCTACGTGACTTTACCGAAAAAACCTGAGAATATGGCACGGTATGATGGCACGATTGATGGGAGTGGTGTGATGGGCAGTGGTGTGATGGCACGGTGTGATGGTATGGTGTGATGGGAGTGGTGTGATGGTAAGGTGTTGATGGGAGTGGTGTGAGAGTGGTGTGAGAGTGGTGTGATGGCACGGGTGATGGCGGGTCTGTGTTGTGATGCACCTGGGGGTGGGGTGTGCGGGCCTCCGGCACGGCGAGCCAGGGGCAGTCGGGCCCCTCGCTGCTCGAGTAGCGGCCCTGGAAAGGTGCTGGCAACGTCCTCCATGTCGACGCGCACACGGCCGAGCCGTGGATGCTGCGCACACGCGCGCACGCAGGTAAAGACAAAGCTACCCCGTGTAGCCTTTGGAGACTGCTGGGGCAAGTGCTGTTAGCGAGGTCGGCACGGCACACGGGGGGGTGGGTGGCCAGAACCACGGCCGGCCACTTTTGTCTCCCTTAGTGGGGATGTTTACGCGCCGCAACATGCACTCATTTGAGGCTGAATCGACCTAGGGGAGAATCGAACTCGGGCCACCGGGTTCATAGCGCAGAGCGCTAACCACCACACTACCGCTTACCACACTCGATCACTCAAACACACCAACACCAAGCTCGCATTCACAAGCGGCAGAACGGGGAGAAACACGCGGGCTCCAAATATACCGCGGGCATCGCAGGCTCTGGGGCTCGAACCCACGTGCTCTTCGCGGCAGGCGAGGTGGTAACGTCTCCTCGACAGCGGCAGTGTGCCTGGGTGACGGCCCGGGTCGGGGTGGAGGGGGTGGGGTGGAGGGGGTGGAGGGGGTGGGGTCGGGGTGGAGGGGGGGGGCACCTGTTGAGGGGGGTGGTGAAGACCCCGAGCACGAGCTCCGCGACCCCGATGTGGAGCACCTCGGAGACCCCTGGAGCTCGTTGAAGTAGAAGGGGGCGTCCCCCGGCGCCTCGCCCCCCACCGAGCAGTTGAGTCGCGCCTTCACGAACGAGCTCCAGTGGCATCCAGCACGCGCTGAGAGCCCCCCGCGTCGCTCTTGCAGACGCGCGCCACGCGCGCGAGAACAAGCACCTGGGGGGGGGGGGGGGGGCAGCGACGCACCTGTGTCAGCACGCCTACACAAGTGAAGGAACCCAATGAGTGAAAGCCGGTGTGTGTTGGTGTGTGTGTGAGTGAGTGAGTGAAGGCCGGTGTGTGTCGGTGTGTGAGTGAAGCCCATGTGTGTCGGGTGTGTGTGTGAGTGAAGGGCGCGTCACCTTGCCCATGGAGCTGAGCTCAACGGCGATCTCCGTGAAGAAGAAGAAGTAGACATGCTGCCCGTGCTCCAGCACCCTCACGAACACGGGCTCTGTGCACCGCACGGCACACGCGTGACGCACCACACCCAAGACACGCGTGACGTACCACACACAAGACACGCGTGACGTACCACACGGTTGACTCACGACACGCGTGACACACAACACAACCTCAGACACGCACACACACCTGCCTTGGACACAGTACTCGTGATGTTGACACGACCTGACACGAGCAGGTCGTGTCACGTCACAGGGGGGGCCGGGCGGTGAGGGTGGGGGGGGGGGTCGGTGAGGGAGGGGGGTTTAGTGAGGGCGGGGGGGGGTTAGTGAGGGGGGGGGTTGTGTGAGGGTGGGAGGGTCGGTGATGGGGGGGGGTCGGTGAGGGTTGGTGAGGGCAGGGTGGGTGAGGGGTTCAGTGATGGGGGGTTGGTGAGGGGGGGGGGTTGGTGAGGCAGGGTGGGGTGAGGGGTCAGTGAGGGGTGGGGTCAGTTAGGGGGGGGGGGTTCAGTACCCTTGAGCCACTTGGAGTCGAGTTTGAGGGAGCGCAGGGGGGGCCCGGGCCCCAGGCTCCCGTAGACCACCGCGTCCACACCCCCAGGGGGTCCACGGCCGTGGCCGAGTAGAGACGCTCGCCTGCACGCACAGATAAAGGTCCCCCAGCTAGCGCGCGTCCTGTGGGGGGCAAGTGCCCGTTGGCGAGCTGGCACCCACGATGTGGCAAAACACCACGCCCGGCCGCCTTTGTCTCCCCAGCGCCGTACCAAGCGCTAATTTGAGGCTGAGTCGACCTAGGGGAGGCTCGGGACCGGTTCGGATAATCGCCACCGCTGTTGGTGGCCGTGAGCGGGAATGGCACTCGGGTGGCCGGGCTAGTCGCGCAGTGCACTCACCACTTTGCCACCGCTCCCCCACGCACGTCCGCACGTACACACGTCCGCACACGTACACACACAGACACACGGACACACGTGTGTCGCTGGCGTGTCGCTGCGACCCCACGGACCTGCGAAGGCAGCCGCCCCTCCCTGCCGGGGGTCGAAGGGACACTTGGCGAGGCCACTCGTTTGCTCCCCAGTGAAGGACAGGTCCGCCAGCTGTCCACGCACACACACACGTACACACACGTACACACACACACACACGTACACACACACACGTACACACACGCGCACACACACACGCGCACACACACGCACACACACACGTGCACGCACACACGTGCACACACGCACACGCACACACACGTACGCACACACACACACACGCACACACACGTACACACACACACCGACACACACACGCGCACACACATGCACGGACACGCACGGACACACACGCGCACACGCACGCACACACACACGCGCGAACGCACACACGCACACGCAGGGGCACTAGGAATAGACACTGCGTGACACTGCTGTGTGTCTGACACTCCGTGTGTGACACTGCTGTGCGTGACACTGCTGTGTGTGTGTGACACTGCTGTGGGTGACACTGAGAGTATGTCACTGCTGTGTGTGTGACCCAGGCAGCAGTACCTGGTAGTTCCTGCACGTGGGGCTGTATGCGTTGGTGCCGCACACAAAGAGGAGTCCGTCTCCTCGTGGCGCAACCACCTTCATGAAGTTGTGACACTCCTCCTGCGGTGAAGACAAACATCCCCCGTACAGCCTCCACAGACTTTTGGGGGCAAGGGCTGTTTAGCCAGCACCTGTGAAAGCCGGCAAGGCACACGAGGGGGCGGGTGGCCAGCACCATGCTCGGCCACCTTTGTCTTTTTACACACCACACTAAGTACTCGTTTAAGGCTGAGCCGACATTGGGGATGCCCAGCACAGGTTCAGATAATCGTCACCGGTGTGGGCGGCCGTGAGCGGGAATAGAACTCGGGCCTCTGCTGGGTTCATCGTCTCCCCCGAGTGACGCCGGTGTCACCCGCGTGACGCCGGTGTCACCCGAGTGACGCCGGTGTCACCCGCGTTGCCAACGGCCACGAAGGGCGGTGGCCCAGGGGCGGCCCCATCGTTCACCGCGCGTTCGCAGACGCTCGCGGTGCGAGCCCGGCGGCCGCCCGGTCAATGCTGCGGCTGATATTCACGTGGGCGGTTAAAGATTCCCGTGACGTCATTCGCACGAGTAGGCCAACGACGTGCGCCGGATTCGTGGTCCAATTTTTCTGTCGCCAACATGTCAACAAGTTAGCACCGCGCGAGTTACTCAACTGACAGACTAATACACAGGGACTGCTGCCACTGGGGGTGCTCCTAGGCGAGATCACACAGCAGCCATCGCCCCCTGCTGTGAACGCACCTCAGGCTGTGTCTGTGATGCACGGCAGCGACTTCCTTCCCGAGGATCGCGCTGCGCTATGAGAAGAGGGAGCTCATACGGACTATTTGGTTTTTTTTTAAAATAATATTTTCCCAGGTAAGGTCCCACTGAGCTACGTAGCGCTCTTTTCAATAAGCGACCTGGCTATCGCAAGTGACAGCTCAACGAATTGGCTTGTCACGTGGACATTTATAGCGGCGAAATGCTCTAAACGCGTGATGTTGATTCTAAATGTGGAGGGGAAAAACCGGAGGACCTGGAGAAAAATTCACGCGACCACGGGAAGAGAGACACGCAAACTCCAAATATACAGCAGCAGGTGTCAGGGTTGGGATCGAACCCACGACCTCCTGTAGACCAAGCGAGGTAGTTAACATCTAGCCACCGTGATGATGATGAGAGAGACGCAAACTCCAAATATACAGCAGCAGGTGTCGGGGTTGGGATCGAACCCACGACCTCCTGTAGACCAAGCGAGGTAGTTAACATCTCCTAGCCACCGTGATGTTGAGAGAGAGAGACACGCAAGCTCCAAATATACAGCAGCAGGTGTCCGGGTCGGGATCGAACCCACGACCTCCTGTGTACCAGGCGAGGGGGTTAACATCTATCCACCGTGACGACCAGGGGTTGGCAACCAAAACTCGGTACAAAATAAACCCTCAATACTCCTCGAGCCGCAATGCACTGCGTGGTGAATGCGAGACGGTGGTGAATGTTGATGAAGAGCGTCACGAAGTGGGTGTTCAAGAGCCGCAGGTTGGCGACTCCTGAGCCGTGAGAGAGGGGCCCTCGTGGCCGTCTGGCCTCACCTCCGTCTTGCCGTTCATGAGACACCGGTCCACCTCCTGGCGCTCCGCCATCCACGTCAGCTTCTGCGATAAAAAAAACTCCTCACCCATCACGCTCTTCACCTCACGCTCCTCACCCATC